ATATTTCATGTTAAAATTTTTTTTGTTTTAATACTTCTGGGTGTCAGGAACGGATTAATTGTATTTACATTATTTCTTATGGGGAAAATTGATTCGTAAATCGTAAATTTCGTTTATAGTAATGGCTCCAGGAACGGATTAATTACGAACAACGAGGGACCACTGTAATAATAATATCTTTACTACACGTACATGTACAAGGTATACAGGCCTAGCTGACGTCAGTGACATACTACTGTATAGAAAGGCACTTGTTATGCTGAGTATTTCAAGAAAATTAGGTCAGTGTCCCAGGATAACACCCACACTAGTCGACTAACATCCAGGTACCCATTTACTGATGGATAAACATAGACAACAGGTGTAAAGAAACGCGCCTAATGTTTCTACCCTGGCTGGGAATCGAATATTTACCAAAAATCGTATATGGCTAACCCAAGCCAGGTACTAAAAATAAGCCATGTTGACTTTTTTGGGGTTATCCTAGGTTCTCTACACATATGCTGCTATGTGTGATAATCTATAGAGAGAAAAAACTTTTTTGTTTCATGTTTATGGTGGAGTACGAGTGTATATCACAGTTAGCCCTGTGCTATACTCCGTTTTCTCTAATATAAGCCCCCAAGACAAGGATAGGAGAATGGTATTTGTTTACCATATCCTCTTCATAACTCTGTCGAACTGCTCGGTGTTACGCCAAATATTATTCATTCTGGAGTATTTAACATGTTTTGTGTTACTATTTATGTTGTTTATTATGTCATATTAGATCAGTTGTGATAGGCAAATAAGCTGTAGTGTTGATATTAGCATAATAATAAAGCATATTCTCCTGCTTCATGAGACTGAGTTCATGACAACCAACAGTGGCTTCAAAGCCACCTTATCTTTAATGGATAATGTACTGTGTAGGTGCTTTACATAATGAGAAGCATTTCTTTTATTCATTGGAACCATGGGTAGGGCTAAAAGTAAGCAGGTTAAAACAATAAATTTAGAAAAAGAAATTGGAATGACTTATGCAGCAAGTAGCGCCACCAAACAGTACCAGCAGGTTGGTGTGGCGACCCTGGAAATTTGAAATTATGCTAGCCAAAATTAGTGCCGAATAACTGAAGGAACCGAATAACTGATTGCCGGATTTGTGATGGCGGACCTGTATTAGAATGTGGGGCAGAAGTTTGTAGTTATAGGAGGGTGGGGGCAGGAGGAAAGAGGAGTGATTGGTGGAATGATGAAGTAAAGGGTGTGATAAAAGAGAAAAAGTTAGCTTATGAGAGGTTTTTACAAAGCAGAAGTGTTATAAGAAGAGCAGTGTATATGGAGATTAAAAGAAAGGTGAAGAGAGTGGTGAGAGAGTGCAAAAGGAGAGCAGATGATAGAATGGGAGAGGCACTGTCAAGAAATTTTAATGAAAATAAGAAAATTTTTTGGAGTTAAACAAGTTAAGAAAGCCTAGGGAACGTATGGATTTGTCAGTTAAAAACAGAGTAGGGGGGTTAGTAGATGGGGAGAGGGAGGTTTTAGGTAGATGGCGAGAATATCTTGAGGAACTTTCAAATGTTGAGGAAGAAAGGGAGGTGGTAATTTCATGCACTGGCCAGGGAGGTATACGTACCACCTTTCAGGAGTGAAGAAGAGCAGAATGTAAGTGTGGGGAAGGTACGTGAGGCATTACGTAGAATGAAAGGTGGTAAAGCAGCTGGAACTGATGGGATCATGACAGAAATGTTAAAAGCAGGGGGGGATATAGTGTTGGAGTGGTTGGTACTTTTGTTTAATAAATGTATGAAAGAGGGGAAGGTACCTAGGGATTGGTGGAGAGCATATATAGTCCCTTTATATAAAGGGAAGGGGGAGAAAAGATATTGTAAAAATTATAGAGGAACAAGTTTACTGAGTATACCGGGAAAAGTGTATGGTGGGGTTATAGTTGAAAGAATTAGAGGAAAGACAGAATGTAGGATTGCAGATGAGCAAGGAGGTTTCAGAGTGGGTAGGGGATGTGTAGATCAAGTGTTTACATTGAAACATATATGTGAACAGTATTTAGATAAAGGTAGGGAAGTTTTTATTGCATTTGTGGATTTAGAAAAGGCATATGATAGTGGATAGGGGAGCAATGTGGCAGATGTTGCAAGTATATGGAATAGGTGGTAAGTTATTAAATGCTGTAAAGAGTTTTTATGAGGATAGTGAGGCTCAGGTTAGGGTGTGTAGAAGAGAGGGAGACTACTTCCCAGTAAAACTAGGTCTTAGACAGGGATGTGTAATGTCACCATGGTTGTTTAATATATTTATAGATGGGGTTGTAAAAGAAGTAAATGCTAGGGTGTTTGGGAGAGGGGGTGGGATTAAATTATGGGGAATCAAATACAAAATGGTTAATGACAGTTACTTTTTGCTGATGATACTGTGCTTATGGGAGATTTTAAAGAAAAATTGCAAAGGTTAGTGGATGAGTTTGGGAGTGTGTGTGTAAAGGTTGAAAGTTGAAAGTGAACATAGAAAAGTGTAAGGTGATGATGGTATCAAATGATTTAGATAAAGAAAAATTGGATATCAAATTGGGGAGGAGGAGTATGGAAGAAGTGAATGTAGGAGAAGGAAGGCGGGGTAAGGGAGGTTTTGTGAGTGAGGGGCTTGGACTTCCAGCTGGCATGCATTAGCGTGTTCAATAGGAGTGAATGGAGACGAATGGTATTTGGGACCTGACGATTTGTTGGAGTGTGAGCAGGGTAATATTTAGTGAAGGGATTCAGGGAAACCGGTTATTTTTATATAGCCGGACTTGAGTCCTGGAAATGGGAAGTACAATGTCTGCACTCTGAAGGATGGGTTCGGGATATTAGCAGTTTGGAGGGGTATGTTGTGTATCTTTATACGTGTATGCTTCTAAACTGTTGTGTTTTGAGCACCTCTGCAAAAACAGTGATTATGTGTGAGTGAGGTGAGTGTGTTGAATGATGATGAGAGTACAGTGGACCCCCGGTTAATGATATTTTTTCACTCCAGAAGTATGTTCAGGTGCCAGTACTGACCGAATTTGTTCCCATAAGGAATATTGTGAAGTAGATTAGTCCATTTCAGAGCCCCAAACATACACGTACAAACGCACTTACATAAATACACTTATATAATTGGTCGCATTCGGAGGTGATCGTTATGCGGGGGTCCACTGTATTTTCTTTTTGGGGATTTTCTTTCTTTTTGGGTCACCCTGCCTCGGTGGGAGACGGCAATGCATATTTCATATTGTAAATTTTTTTTTTCATACTTTTGGGTGCCTTGAACGGATTAATTTGATTTCCATTATTTATGTGGAAAATTAATTCGACTTACGATAATTTTGTCTTACAGTGTGCTCTTTGGAACGGATTAATATCGTAAGTTGGGGGTCCACTGTGTGTGTGTGTGTGTGTGTGTGTGGTGCCGATTTGGTAAAACTTGTGATTCTGGCTTAAACAGCAATGCTCTTCTTGCCGAATAATGCAAGCGAAAATTTCTGTATGCAATGATTTCGTAAAAATCATTCTGAACCTAACGAAAAAATATATTTCATTGTGTTTATTATTTATTGTAAACTTATCAAAAATATATTTAGTTGGATTAGGCTAAATTAAATTATGCTTGTTTTAATACAGTTAGATAAGTTTTCTAAGGTTTTTTGGTACAAACTTATTAATTTTTGCATTAACATTAATGAAAAAAAAATATTTTTAAACCTAAATTACTGGGGATGCCTTCAAGTCTTGAACATGTACTCATTGGCATGGAGGAGAGAGAGACATGATAATATATACCTGGAAAGTACTTGAGGGCCTGGTCTCAAATTTGCACACTGCCATAACATACTGGAGTGAGAGATACGGGAGGAAGTGTAAAATAAACCCAGTGAGGAGCATGGGTGTGGTGGGGACAATAAAGGAACACTGTCTCACCATTCGGGGTCCAAGACTATTCAACATCTTACCAGAAGACATCAGAAACACAACTGGAACAAATGTAGAAACCTTCAAGAGGAAACTGGACAAGTATCTTCACCAGGTACCAGATCAGCCAGGCTGTGATGGATATGTGGAACAGCAGTCCTCCAGCAGCAAAAGCCTGGTTAACCAGGCAAGCACCAGACGAGCCTGGCCCATGGTCGGGCTCTGAGAGTAGTGAAACTCGAAACTCTTCTAAGGTATATCAAAGGTAAGGTTGCTGCAGGATTTTTTTTTTTTAATATATGCCACACACTTACAGCATAGTACCATTCTCTCATATCTAGGCCCAAATTTACTGATCACAGCTTAAATGAGTGAGCTGAGCTCATGGCATAGTACTGCGGGACTGACCCTTCAAAGTCGTAGGACAGCAGGACTCGCCCCGAAAGGGTTAATAGTGAGTAATGTTCATTGTGCATTATCTGCTTACAAGCAGATCTATGATGAAAAAACCAAACACACCATATAGTCTAGATGTGTAATAGGCTATACCATCTAGGTTTGTGTAAGGACACACTCTGATGTTCACACAACCACAAAATTACCTAACAACACATTGCTCAGAATGTATCCCAGTCATTAAATGACACCTGACTGTATTAAATAAGAAGGATTTTGCATGGTTGATTAATGTGTCTTTCATGCAGATAAAAACAAACCTAGTGGTACAGATTCCTCATCCTGCTCTTGCAGCACATCGAATTAATGAGAGTTCAAATTTAATCAACACTATAGAGGTTTGGATAAACCTTAGGTGTTATAAATGGTTACAGAATTATGGAGTTAGACTGTACCTTAAATTTTTCTTGGGCATTTGCTATTCTTGAAAGGTGAATAGTGATTATTAAAATTTCCCAGAAAATACACAAGTTATATAGGACAGCAATTAAAAATATTTTCTACTTAAAGTAATATTAAAGAGTTTTCACATACTGTGTGTGTACGTATGTTATATATTACGTGTATATATTTTCATATATATTTCCATAATCCTCCTATGTGCTCTATCAG